CATAGTAATGTTAAAGTCACCTAAGACCAAGTGATAAGCAGAGTCGTCAAAATCGCGTCGTAAAGCGTTATAAAAGTTGGAGCGGTCACTTGGTGAAACAAACCATATACCACGCAAAAATAAATGATCATTGCACCAAGTTGACCCGTCACGACCAAGTACCTATTATTAAGGATGGGGTCGATGGTGTTCCGGTGTGTGATGTCTTGAATGTTACAAAAAGGGTGTGCTCCGCTGAAAGCTAAGGCGACCCAATCGCGACTATGATATTCATTTGTGTGCTGGTTAGAACAGTAAGCACAAGCGTTGGAGTCAGCCGCGTGGAGAAAGTGCTTATCACTTGATAATGAACCGGGGCTGGAAAGCTTGGTTTCTTGAAGTGCAATAACTTGATAGCGGGAGAGGATGTCTTGATATAGTTTTGGCTTGACGATTGAGTCCGTTCACATTGAATGAATCAGCCTTAAAAGCCCAGCTTTATTGATTACAAGTGAAGTCTAGGAGTTATTTCTCCAGTAGGGGATGGCTTGAGATCTTGAACCTTTTGAACCAGAGTTTTCAAAAAGGTCGGAACGGACTTGTATTGTATCAGATCTTTAGCAAACGTGCTAAAACTGAGCAACCACAGTGTATGGTCCGATAAGAGGGGAATATTTAAACCGGAGAAATACGTGGGGTTATCGTCAGTTAATCCCAATATCTTGACAGGGTCACGGTACACCGTTGGAGCCATGATATGGATAACTGCGTCCCAAACAGATAAGGCCAATAAGGCCTTAAGTGCATTCGACGGTATTGGTTTTCCATGTCTAAGTAGACGGCGGAGCATCTTGTCAGCAAACCCAGTAGCGTGAAGAAGCTGTAGGCATTTTTGGTACTCAATTGGGAGGAACGCCAATAATCGACACACTGCTCTATTAAGTGCAAGAGTGTCAATTTTAGCTTTAGTTGCTATAACGCCCAGCATAAGTCCTGGATCAGCCTCAATATCTGCTAACTGGTCCAGAGGGGGTCGACTTTCGAATTTCTTTAAAAAGGAGTCCACATAGTCAAAAAGTTCACCCCGAGTCATAGACCCAACTTCGTAGTTAATGGTTAATGGGGTACCCATGGCAGTGTT